CCCCCCCCCCCCCCCCCAACCCCCCACCAAATAACAAAACCACCCTTCCAAAAAAAAGACACCAAAATTAAAAATAAATAAATAATCCGCATGTAGATTGTCGTCATAACCATATGGTTTGTTTCATTGTTGACTTACCACCAAGAACCATATATACATAGCAGTCTTAAGGAAGAAATAGGTAGCTCATGTGAATTTTTCTCTCCATTAGTACATCTTCTCTTATTCTAGAATTTCCTTGCAGTCAAAGAACATTAGTCTATCTTAATGTTAATAGCTTTTGAACTGCTTTCAGTACTATATTGTCAACATTCGAACAGGGAAAAAAACATAATACCTCAATTATCGAAGTATTTAGGATACAGCAAAACATTCCATTTTGTCAAAGTATGATATTGGCTTGAGTAATTGTTGAAAGATTGAATAAACGCGCTACCGGGAGGCCTTTTTTTCTGCTAGTATATTTATCACCAAATAACAATAGTTGACCTATCTCAGTATTTTCAGTTTATAAAGATCTCAACTTCTTTTGATGAGTAATTAGTAAATGTGTATAATATCACTAGAAGAAAGTTTAGCTGAGAAGTCATTACAACTTCACATTGTATCAGGTCAAAGAACACCAAAGTAAATAAGAAGGGGATTAGTAAGGCATATCGAAGAACTACTTAAGCTTCTGATATTCCTTGAATAAACAGATGATATATAGCAACAAACGCTCAAGAAATATTGGAATTCATAACTGCAGAGTTGTTGATATGATAACTCTATGACATGGTGACGAAAAACTAGCTAATCTTATGAGTTTTTGGCAACAAATTAATTTATTCAGTCTACATTGACGATCCCTTACGTGCATAATGAACAGTAATATCATATGACTGAAGCATAACGTACCAATACCATAGATTTTAGGGGTGCATTTGTTTCGAATACGGTTTGGATATGACACTTATTATATCCATATCCGCTTTCTAAAAACGGATACGGATACGGATATTCTTCGGTCAGGAAAAGTCATCCATATCCACATTAAACGGAATTTGATCCAATTCGGATATTAGAGAAACGGATACAAATCTGATATTTAGGAAATGGATATGAATCGGATATGGCCGATGATAATAAAAGGGTTGGGTCGAGGGTTTAATGAGACTAGTGTGGCTCCCAAATATCCTGGAGGACTGTATGAGATTGGTTAGAATTTAAGTGTGACCGGATTCAAATAGTGATGGATGTTAGTGGGTCAGCAGTTGTAAATGGCAATAGGGCATGTGAGTGAGTGGGACAAACCACAGTATAAGTTAAAAGTAATGTGCTGATCGGATATATAATAGGAGTCTTTGTAGTCCAGTGCCTTTTGAGGAGGTGACCATGGTCCGACTCCTATCAAATACATTATTATTTCATATTTTTTCTTTGAAAAAAAAGAAATATCCGAATATCCGGATTGTATCCGTAGGTTTAACCTGATAACCGTATCTGACAAAAAAAAGAGGACCATATCCAAAACTAGGGGTGGTAAACGATAGAATCGAATCGAATACTAAGGTGTTCGTATTTGTATTTGTTTAAAATTATCGAATTTGAATGCGGACTCTAATATTCATATATCTAGTTTTTTGTTTAAAATTATCGAATTTGAATGCGGACTCTAATATTCATATATCTAGTTTTTCGAATTCGAACTCGAATACTTGGTATTTGATAAATATTCATGAATATTCACGAATACTTAACGAATATCAAAGTATATTATTCCGCTAAAGAATTTGATTTTCAAATAGTATTAAAATTCACAAACAAAAACTATTCCTTTATAATATATGATGTATATATATTTAAATCAAATTTTTAATTAGAAAACAGATTTAAGATTATTTAAGTCTTAAAATTAGTATATAAAACTTAAGTAAAGATGGTAAGTGGGTTAAAAATATAACATCATATGTGCAATAATACAAATAATAAGCTGTGATCAAATTTTAAACGAATGACAAACGAATCGAATATACATCTGGTTAAATTCTATTCGTTAATAAACTCGAATACTAAAAAATATTTGTTTAGTGGTAAATGAACTACCAAATTGAATATGACCGAATAGTTATTCGAACAATTATCGAACTATTTGTTAATTATTTGGTTTATTTCCATCCCTATCCAAAACTGTATCTGGTCGGTTAAAGATTTCGGCTACCATATCCGCATCATTAGCGAATACGGTTAAGGTTGGTTCGGATACCCCTGATAGATTTGCATGGAAATACTGTTTCAACTTTCTTTTTTATCCAATTGCATCAAGTTCCCCTACAAATCTTCATCAGCCGTGTGAACATGCAATCGTGACATGAAACTGTATTTTGTTCTGCAGAGTGTAAGATCGAACTACAAAAGGGACGACAACACCGCATCAGCTGTGTGATCTGGCTGATAGCGTCGCGTGTCTTTGAATCTCCTGGCTGCGAATGAGTAGATTATTAAATGTGAGATCTCCACCTAAGTCGTCGTCTTTCTTATACATCCTGGATGCTGCATGTCCTCAAGGTGTCAGCTCCTGGTATCCCTGGCATATAGGCACAGTGTGCATAGCATTGTGGCCATGGATGTAAACGTTTACATCAATCCAGAAACCCAATATACTACACAGAAATTATGCTTCACAGGTGTCGGACCATTGCATATTGAACTTTTGGTACGATTAGGAGATTTATGTTGAGCATAGCAATATGTGCAGAGGCATGCCTGAATGTTTTTTTTTTTCATTTTTTATTTTTTATTTTTATAACAAAGTCTGTTGTTGGTGCATGTTTTATATGTAAATTTTCTTCCAAGTTTGTTATATATGAAAGACTTATATTATTTCCAGCTGTAAAAAACAATTGATATTCTGACAATACCTTTAGTTAAAAGGTTGTAGGTTAAATGTCCTTGGTGAAACTGGACAGATGCTTGTGATATTAGAAGTTGTGGATTTCTAAACAATGCATAGTACTTTGGGAAATTGTAAAAAATTCTCAACGCTTGTTATATTAGAAGTTGTGGATTTCTAAACAATGCATGATACTTAGGGAAATTGTATGAATTCTCCATGCTCGGTTCAAAGGGATGGCTTTCTGTTTCAAATTCATATTGCAGAGTTCATTGAAGAGGTAACTTCCAGCAGGCTAAATGAGAATAAAATCAGTGTTACGATGAGGTTCATTTGGAGGTATAATATAACATGGAAACTGGTAGGTTGTTGCTAACTGCCGCGGTATTTCAAGAATACTTATTGCACCATGACGCTCGCAAAGAGAGTTCATGAATGAGAAAAATTGTCAGTTGCAAACATTGAAATCCCAAAAAAAACAACAAAAGAGCAAATAGAGAAAATCAGGACGTAACCTGCGAATAATGTTCCGCTGTGAGCATCATGCATTCAGATTAATGGTATGAAATCAACAAGATCTCCCATACTTCTCATGATATTACAGCTTCATGAATTGAGAAATGCAAGAGACTTTTATATCATTAAGGTGCGATCTGTATCTCTTAACATATTAGTATACTGGTGCTTCATTACAAAAATGCTCTTTCACATTTCACTGTGAAGTGGAGATACATTGTTCGAATTTTGATAATAATAGAAGATCAAGACAGTTGATTCTCTGGCACCTCAATTTGAATTGCATGTTCCTTCCGCAACCGAGAGAAAGCTGACAACATGGAGGATCGCATATTTGCTATTTCTACAATAGTTTCCAAGGCTGCACAATAGTAGAAAATTAGATGTGCATTGGAAAAATGTGCAACCGACAACACCTGTATCACGCAAAAACTAACCTGACTCAAACGAAACTTGGGCAGTCCTAAGCTTGGGGGATACCAAAGTTCCGAAAACTGCTAAAGGTTTAGATCTCTCCTTCTGAATCTGCTGTCACAAACAGAAACATTTCATCACTCTTAAGACAGTAGCATAACAGAATGAAATAAACTCAAATAGTTACATTGACGTTTTCTTAAGCCAGATTTTATATAAATCGAGAGGAAGGAAAGCGTTTTTTTTAACAGATCTCCAGCTTAAAACCTTTCATCTAAGAACCCAACACGAACAGGTCGAGTCCCCTTAACCAGTTCCTGACTTGTTTACAACCATAATGAATCTTCAGGTTTATGCTAACAACATCAATCTGCTGCTAATATTCATATCTAACTTGAGATCTGAGAGTTCAATAATAATGAAATAATATATTATACTAAAACAAAAAAAAAGGAAATTACATTATTGTCAGCAGCATTAGGAGAAGCATCATTTGCACTCGCTGGATATGTTTCCTGGGACCCCTCTGAAGATGAAAGAGAAAATATCAGATCTTATAGGGAATGCATTTTCCGTCAATATAATCCAAGAGGAGATTAAAATAATAGCAAAAAACTCAATGGAAAACAAGTTCCATACCATGAAGATGGGATGATCCTCTACGCCTTAGCTGTGAAATAGTAGGGTTTGGCACCTCCTCAACAGCCTCTTCAAATGAATACGTGTTTCCTTCCAGAGAAGAGCCCCATTTTGATAGCGTATAGTGTAGTTCTGATAGTAAAACAAGAAAGATAATCATTTAGGGTGTCTTTAGCAATGGGTTAAAGAGCTTTTACCTGAATTTATGTTTCCAATCAGTTTTAAGGTTCAAATAACCCTGAACGAATTTGCGGAGCAAAACCGGCTTAAAAAGGAGGCTTGCTAATCCGTGTGTATAAGTAGGTTAAGAGACAACCCCAGTTTTTACATAAAGCAAAGAGTTGGAAGCACAGGAAAATTTGATTGTAGCATATTCATTATTGATGGTTATGAAGTTAAGGAATATTGATCCTAGCTTCATCGCTCTTTTTCTCATGACATGCATATGCTTTTTCATGTAACTCATCTCATTTAACAGTACTATATTATACTGAGAATAAACAGCAGCATCGTGGTTTTCTATCTTAAGTCTTGCGCAAACCAATGCTGATATAATGTGTTTGCCAAAAAAATAGAAAAACCAAATCTATCTGAGGCATTAGAAATGCATCAGTTAAGTTCATAAAACTACCAGAATGAGATTCTTTGATTGATTCAGAAACTTGCACTGTAGTTGCAGCAGATTGTTCTTTAAGATCCAACAATGAACTAGAGACACGTGATGATCCCATAGAATGGCGAGCGCTGGCCAGGTCCAACCATCCCTGCTAACAAAAAAAATCTTCTATGTATTCATTTAAGGTAAATTATCTTTTATCGACAAAAAAGGGGAAGATAATGCAATGTTAAAGATGCATGTATACAATTATGGTTGAGGAGATGTGATTTGGTCAACAGCCATAATCATGGATTATAGTCCATAAAAATTCGCTAAGTTGGAGAACACAAATATTCTAAAACAGATGAAATTTTGTGATTTTGTCGAAAATGGCCAAAATCATGGGTTATAGTCAACATAAACTTGAGAATTTTGGAGTACGCATAAACTAGTCTGAACGTACAATAGTTTGTTGTAGGCCGAAATAATTTGAGAAATTGATCTAAAACAGCCAAAATAATAGTGTATAGGCCATGGAAATTCAAGAGTACATATGAATTATTTTGTGTGATGGTAATTTGTGATTTGGTCGAAAACAATGAAAATCATGTATTATAGTTCATAGAAATTCGATAATTTGGAGTATGCATAGAATATTATAACGAACGAAAATTTGTGATTTAGTCGAAAATGCCCAAAATCATGGGTTATTGTCTGCAAAAACTCGAGAATTTTGGAGTACGCATAAAATATTCTACAAGAGACAATCAAATGTGATTAGATAAAAAATAGCCAAAATCATGAGTTATAGTCCATAGAAACTCGAGAAATTTGGAGTGTGTATAAATTGTTTCTATCAGGAACGGAAATCTGCATTTGATCGAAAACGATTAAAATCATAGGTTATAGTCCATAGCAATTTGAGAATTTGAAGTACGAATAATATATTCTGTGTCGACGCAATCTTGTGATTTGGCCGAAATGCCCAAAATCATGGGTTATAGTCCATAGGAATTCAAAACTTTTAGAATACGTATAAAATATTTTACAAGGAGCAACAATTTGTGATTTGATCGAGAACATCCAAAATCATGGGTTATTGTCTATAGAAAAATATACTATAAGGTGCGACAATTTATGATTTGATCGAAACTATCCAAAATCATGGGTTATTGTCTACAGAAACACGAGAATTTTGGAGTACGCATAAATATTCTATGAGGTACAACCGTTCGTGATTAAATAAAAAATAGCCAAAATCATGAGTTATAATCCATAGAAACTCGAGAAATTTAGAGTCTGTATAAATTATTTCTATTAAGAATGGAAATTTGCAATTTGGTCGAAAATGGTTAAAATCATAGGTTATAGTCCATAGCAATTTCAGAATTTGAAATACGAATAATACATTGTATGTCGGATGAAATCTTCTGATTTAGTCGAAATGCCCAAAATCATGGATTATAGTCCACAAGAATTCAAAAATTTTGGAATACGTATAAAATATTCTATAAGGTGCAACGATTTGTGATTTGATCGATAACATCCAAAATGATGGGTTATAGTCCATAGAAATTTGAAAATTTTGAAGAATGCATAAAATATTCTGAGGTATGGCAGTTCGTGATTTGATCGAAAGCCAAATCATGGGTCATAGTCCTTAGAAATTTGAGTATGTATAAATTATCTGGGATAATTATTTGTGATTTGATCGAAAACAATCTAACAATAAATTATAGTCCATAGAAATTTGAGGAACTAGAGTGCGCATAAAATATTCTATAATGGATGAAATTTTGTGATTTTGCTGATAATGACCAAAATCATGGGTTCACAGAAACTTGAGAATTTTGGAGTACGCATAAAATAATCTATAATGTACAATAGTTCATAATTTGATCGAAAACAGCCAAAATCGTATGTTATAGGCTTTGGATGACAAATGCAAAGTAGGGGAAAACTATAGGGTATTTAAGTACAACTAAGCCTAAAATATTCTATCACGAATTGCAGCTCGTGATTTGGCTGAAAACAACCAAAATCATGGTTATAATCTAAAGAAATTTAAGAAAATTGAAGCAGGTACAAATTATTGTTATGTGGAATGACAATTTGTGACTTGGTCAAAACAGTCAAAATCATAGGTAACCACCCTTAGAAAATTTTGAGAATCTGAAGCACATATAATATATTTCAAGGTAGACGAATTTTTTTGATTTAGTCGAAATCACCCATAATCATGGGTTATAGTCCACAAAAATTCGAGAATTTTAGAGTACGCATAAAATATTCTATAAGTTACTACGGGTTGTGATTTGGTTGAAAACAAACAAAATCAAGGGTTATAGTCCACAGAAATTTAACAAAATTAGAGTACGTATAAATTATTTTTGTGGAATAATAATATTTTATTTAGTCAAAAAGGTCAAAATCATGGGTCATAATCCATAGAAATATGATAATTTAAAGTACAGATAAATATATTCTATGCTAGATGGAATTTTTTATTTGGCCGAAAACGTACAAAATCATGGGTTATAGTCCACAAAAATTAAAGAACTATAGATTATGCATAAAATATTCTATGAGGTAATTCAGTTTGTGATTTGATAAAAAATAATCAAAACAACGAGTTATAGTTTACAGATTTTTGAGAATTTAGAGTATGCATAAATTATTTTTATTATGTGGGATGATATGGGGTGATAATTTGTAATTTGGTTAACGGTCATAATAATGAATTATAGTTCATAAAAATTCGAGAAGTTGAAGGGCAAAAAATATTCAATATCAAAAGTAATTTTGTGATTTAGTCGAAAATAGCCAAAATCATGGGTTATAGTCCACAAAAACTTGAGAATTTTGGATTACACATAAAATAATCTATAAGGGTTAATAGTTCGTGATTAGATCAAAAATAGCAAAAATCGTGAGTTATAATCCATAAAAACTAGAAATTTTTTGGAGTGTATAAATTATTTCTATCGGGGGCGGAAATTTGCGATTCACTCGAAAACGATTAAAATCATAAGTAACAGTCCATAGCAATTAGAGCATCTCCAATGGTATACTCTATATTTAGAGGGTTTGAAGAGAATATTCTTCAAGATTCCTCAAATATAGAGTGTTTGTAAAAGTTGTGCTCCAATGGTGCCATCTATATTTATATGAATTAATCTACCATTAACAAACTAATGATGTAAATAAAATAATTAAAACTTATAATTTTTTGTACAAAAATTATACCTTTAGAACCGTCTCGCCGAAACATTTTAAATGAGATTAATATTGAATATTTTTAGAGTCATTTTAAATTAGTTTATTTTAATATAATAAAATTAAATTAATAAAATAAATATGTAGGGATCTATATAACCCGCCCTAAAGGAACTACATTCAAAATACAGAAATATAGAAAGGATGTGGAGCGGGCATTTGGAGTACTTCAAATACGCTTTGCCATCATCAAATGATCAACACGATTTTGGGATAAACGAGTGCTACATGACATTATGTCTACTTGTGTAATACTACAGAATATGATTGTGGAGGATGAACGCGAAGAACTAGATAATATTGATTCAACTCAACCTTCAAATACTGACGAGATGGATAACAATGACGATGAAAGATTAAGACAATTCCTCGCTCGACATAGGAAAATCCAAGATCGGGAGGTTCACTTTGAACTTCAGAATGCACTCATTGAACATTTATGACAAAGACATGGTAATGGAATAATGTAATTTTTTTAAGCTTGATGTATTTTAAATTCTCTGTACTTAACATTTCATAATGATAAATTTGAAATTAATATTAAAAGTATTAAATATTAGTCTCATTTTGAAGGTTTCGGCAAGACAATTTCAATGATATAATTTTTATTTAAAATAGACTAGTAAATTTAAAATTATATTAAGTTAAATAATTAGTTTAATTATATTCAATGATACAATTGGTGTTTATGAAAAGTTATAAATGAGATGGAAAGGCAAAATTGGAATTAAAATATATGAATAGTATTTTAGAGGGATCCCTCTATATGAGCCCAAACCCTTCAAATATAGAGGGTTATTGTAGCACCCTCTTAATATAGAGGGTGCTATAGTTATACCATTAGAGCCAATGGTACTCTATTATAGAGGAATGGAGTACAATTGGAGATGCTCTTAGAGAATTTGAAGTACGGATAATATATTCTATGTCGGACAAAACTTTGTGATTTGGTCAAAATGCGCAAAATCATGAGTTATAGTTCACAGAAATTCGAGAATTTTGAAACACGCATAAAATATTCTATGAGATACAACAATTTCTAATTTTATTGAAACATTTAGAATGATGGGTTATAATCCATAGAAATTTGAGAATTTTGAAGAATGGATAAAATATTCTATGAGGTGCTACAGTACATGATTTGATTAAAAATAGCCAAAACCATGGGTTATAGTTCGTAGAAAGTCAAGTACATATAAATTATTTTATGTGGGATGATAATTTGTGATTTGTTCAAAAACATTCAAAATCATGGATTACAGTTCATAGAAATTTGAGAATTTGGAGTACGCGTAAAATATTCTATAACGAACAAAATTGCGTGGTTCCATCAAAAGTCCTCCAATCCATGGATTATGGTCCACATAAACTCGATAATTTTGGAGTTACTCATAAAATATTCTACAAGGGAAAATAGTTCACGACTTGATAGAAAATAGCCAAAATCATGAGTTAAATTCCATAGATATTTGAGAAATTTGGGGTGCATATAAATTATTTCTATCCGCAACGAAAATTTTAATTTGGTCGAAAACGGTTAAAATCATAGGTTATAGTCCATAGCGATTCAAGAATTTGAAGTACAGTTAATATATTCTATGTTGGACTAAACTTTGTAGTTTGGTCGAAATGCCCAAAATCCACAAAAAATCGTGCATATAATATAATGTGTGTTGCACTTAAGTACCCTACAGATTCCTGTACTTTGCACTTAAGTTTTCAGCACAATTATATATCCTAAAGTTTTTAAACTTGTTATAGACCCTTGTTTTTTAAAGCAAACATATACCTTAAAAATTTTTAAAACTAGCACTCAAATACCCAAAAATTTTAAAACTTGAACTTAAAAATCCTAAAATTCTCAAAACTGCAAATGCGAGGGTATTAAAG